TCAGATATTTCTCAAACTTGGTATATAGTTGATACAATAAGATTTACATTTGCTCCAGATTTATTTTTGACTAGATTTAAAATGTCTAATTGTAAAAATAGCCTTAAAAGTGTGCAGCATTATCCTAAGTTCATTTTTGTTCAAACTTAGAATAATGGTTGTCTAGCAGCCATTTTCTTTGACTCACTCACTCACTCACTCACTCTGGCAATCCAAGAATTTCATTCACAGCAAAGTACTGGTACATGCACAAAAAAGAGCATATAAATTGTTGTATTTTAAAATACAAGAACAAAAGGGGGCTGTGAAATTCTCATCTTCATGAAGTTAAATAATCCCTATACTTATTCCCATTTTTAATACAAAGATTTGTTGATGGGCAAGGTTATTATAGTTTAGCTATGTATGATGAAATAAAACATAGTAAAGCCATGTAGTGGGATATCAAGATATCTCTTTTTGCTAATGCAGATGACAGCCATGATGATGTGTTAATACACTTTGACTCATAAAGCTAGGGTTTGTCAGTCCTGGTAGTCAAGCATGAACATGACGTAATTTTTTATACTCTGTATCGTACATAATCCCTGCACTCATCAACTTCATTGACTACCCTCATGTTTCTTTAATTAACCAGCAATACAGAATTTAAATTTTATAACTTTTTTTTTTTAAATATGCATTTTATATGTACATATTTTTCACTGATACTGGTGAATCTTTATGACAGTCACGTCATGTGCATGTCTTTCTATTATTTTAAGAACTGTCATTTTCAACAATTATGTAATTCATATATACTAACTATAGTGTGTGATCTCAGTTCACTGGTTTGTGAAGCAAAGAATACATTCTATTTTTTAATTTAAATATTAGCTATGTTTTAATTTGTGCCAAAAAAAATGAATTTACTTCTCGACTAATTAAATTATTCAATTCAACAATAAGATATATGTTCAATGTGTAACATTTATCAAATAATTCTTTTGAATACAATTTTGATTTTGATCTACAAACATTTTCCAATTCTGTCGTACATGGCGCACTTTACTGGTACTCAAAAATGAGATTTCAAACAGGCGCAAAGCAAAACCTTTTTTTTCAGGCTTAGTGCATATACCTATCAGCAAAAATAAAATCTACCTTATAATTAAGTTTTGTACAGTATCACATTGAGTTGTATATTCTTTTCAAAATACAAGTTCAGAGGAAACTTGGAGAAACGTGCAAAGATGTTTTTTTGAACTTCATATAATTGTACTGTAAAGACTATCAAGAGTGCCAATGGTCTTTGATGGCAGTCACACATGACAACCTATGAACTTGATTTTTGAGAATTGATACGTCAAATGATTTTATGTCACTTAATTACATTACCGTAAAATCTGTATTAGAAGCCGCATCCCTAATAGAAGTCGCACCCATTCTTTTTGAATGTTTGAGAACCAAAAATTCATCATTTCTCATATGTGTAGATGCTCTAATAGAAGCCGCATCCCCTCTGTTGCATTGTACCATTTTAATAGAAGCCGCAGCTTCTAATACAGATTTTACATTATTAACTATAGAGACATATCACTTTACCCACACTTGCTATATAGTTCATCTGAAAATATCTTTATGCATTTGCAATAAAAGCTTTCTTTCCTGTTGATTTAAAAACTTTTTTTTTGTTTTAACTTGTTTCTCAGGTCAACAATTTTACGTATAGTTGTGTGTATTTTAGGTGCCAAGCACATTCAGGGTTATATAACATTAAAA